GAAAATGTTTAATCACAGAAAAAATATTGTGCTCTGTATAGCAAGATAAATTACGTTAAAATTTAAAGTAACCCTCTAGTTTTAGTCTGTGTTGTTAGTACTTAAAACATTGTTTAAATTTCTGCTACAAATACACTTGATTTTATGATGTAATTTAAACACACTTCTAAAGCCGTTATTTTGATTAATATAATGCAAAAATTGTACATTCAGTTAAATTTGACATAATGTAATGCATTAATAATGCATTAGCTAAGTGCCGAAGCTTGTTCGCCTTTATAATAGTAGTTCCTAACGCCAGGTTTTATTTAAACGTTTTTATTATTAGTACCTTAAATATATATAAGGGGAAAATATTATATTTAAGACACAAATTTTACTGCCTATTTTAGTAAATAAATACATCTATTAATTGCGTATCTATACTGACTACTAATCATTTTAATAATTTCTGGAACGCTGCCCTCTGTTCAAGCTTTAAACCGAGTGAATGCTTGCTCAAAAATCGTTTATGTTACATAATATAGAGCATAGTGTCTTTTTTTGCACCGTTGAATACATAAAATAAAATAAAATTCGAAAACAGTTGATGATGACTTTAAAGATTGCATTGAGTTGCCTTTACAGTTGAAATGACTTAGTTATTAAAAAAATACTTTTCAAATTAAATTTTATAGCACACTTTAAACATTCTAAATTCATCTAAAGCTTTTCTATTGAAATTTATTTCCACCACTTGTGTTTAGCAGGAACTAATTAAACAAATTGTATGTACTTACGATTTAGATATCTTAAAATTCTTACAGTGATAATGATACAAGGATTTTATTTTTGTAAATCGCTTAGTTGTGTCTGTGTACCTAGAGTGGTGCAGTTTTAATGCAGCCCCATGTTTCTGTTCCCCCAGCACGGGGTTGCTAGGATACTCACCCTCACCTTCATTGGGCCTGTGTTTGCCCCGAAACCAACTTCTTCTGACACTGCGTGAAAACATCGCGTAAAATTTACTAAGTTTATCGTAATTACCTTTGGGACATGCGTTTAAATTTTTACTAGTGGCATGTAGGTAACTAAAAAACTCAAATGTTAATACAAATTATTGTAATATCAACAAACTAGGAATCAAATTATCTTTCATGCAGCTCTGAAAATTGTAAGTTAATCATTTTTAGATCAATTTAGTGAAAACAGATATTTGTTAATTAGTAAACAAACTTCATGCATTCTATCAACAGAATTAAAAGTAGAAAAAATAGTACTTTTGTATTCACATGTTTAATGTAAACAAAGCAAATGTTTTTCAATCTCAATACATTTTAAATGGAAGATATTTTTAGTTATTTCTCATTTTCTGGTAGATTTGGACATAATCAGCTATTTTCCCGACCCGCTGAGACCGAGACCTTTAATTTGAGCCCTCTCCTATCATCCTACGAGCTATCGAACTCACAATTTTGATTTTAAAACTCGCTTACAGAATTAATAATATAAACTAGGGGGCCATATCAGCAATTGTTCCTGTTTTGTTCACAGTTACTACACATTTTTAAGTTGTTACCTTATTGCGTAGTCAAATAAATGCGTTTTCAAATAATGAGTTTTAAATTAGTCTTCCCCAAACTTTTTCATTATTTCTGTAAGTACACTCTTCAAAATGTCTCGAATCATTGATTACCTATGTTTGATTTTACATGGATGACGTTTTTTTGTATTATTTTGAAATTCATCTTTGATATGAATTTTAAATTGCACAAATTAAGCGTGGAATAATGCATTAGACTAAGCGTAGAAAAGAGTTTCCTATTGACATGGGACAATATTAAAGGTTTACAAATTTATTTCGACAATATAATAATCTTTAATGTAATAGAATTTTTAATTTTTATTTGTGAAGTAAATCCCAAATGGATTGCAGGAGTTGGTTTGACTTGTATTCTACAAAGTCACAGGTTTAAACATTTAAAAGAGACATCCTTTAAAAGAGATTTTCTACAAAAATGTAATATATATAGTGTAAAAATTAAATATGTCTATAACGATGCTATCAAGTGAAGCTATACTATTATAAATAAAAGACCCTAAACTAAATTATCTTAATCTAGTGGACAAAAATGATGGCATTAATGTGACACTTGATTAATTGAAATATTACGATGTTACTTTGTTTATGCAATCTAGTAGTTATATCTGTCATTACAAAATCCAAATACACATAATTTTTATGTGTTTATTACATAAGAATATATCTTTATTTTTATTATTTCAAATCTTAGCTGCAAACATATTCGGGAAGGGTAACACAATTCGGTTAAATACTTTTAAATTTAAGCATTACGAATAAATATAAATTCTAATTAGAAGAGAATTTTAGTGTTTAAAGAAAGGGCAAGTCGTTTAAAAGGTTTCGTTTTATTGTTTCGTTTCCATTTTATGGCTGAACTTCGAAGGACATAACAGTTTACGGCTGGTAGTAAAATGTCCTTTAAGGTTTCATTGTTCATAAATCGATAATGACATTCATAGCCAAGTAAAATGTTTTGTGAAATGTCGTGAGGAAATAGTTATTTGTGCAACTAGTGAGAAAAGTGAGCAATTGACTCACTCGAGAGAAATCCTTACTCACGAGCAGTAGGCGAGTGAGGAATGGTTTCTCGAGTGAGGCAATTGTACTTTGAACTCGAGTTGCACATTATACTTTTCCTACAGTTACCATAAAACAAATAAATTGGTGAAGAAACATAACCTATTTTTACACAGAAGTGAACTTTTAATATAACATTTAATGTGAAGTGACAAATACAACAGTACAACAGCTGACCAGCTGATTTACAGCCAGTGCTGCCAACGTATTTCGCGCGCATACGACGTTGCCTGCATATTACGTGCTCACTATTTCGTGCCTTCACGTTGCAAATCTGGAGTGAGACAAAGTAATTAGAGTGAGACAATGAACATTGTCTCACTGATGAGCGAATTGGCCACTTTGCTTTCTCAAATCAGTGAGAGAACATGTACATTGTTAGGTAACTGTAGGAAAAATATATTTCTTTTCATAAGTTAGATTCTAATTTTGGTTTAGCGTTTTTTTAGTGTGTAAAAATAATAAAAATCATTGTAAATCGTATAAATGTAGTACAACTTAAAACTTTTCATATTAACTATTTTACATTATTTTGTTATTTTACGTGTGTTTGTTGGTTGTTGAAGTAGATTACAGTACCCATTTTTGAAAATTATATCTTTAATGATATTATTTGTATTTTAGTTCACTAATCATGTAACAATTGTAACAATTCATGAGAATGTAATCATGTATACACCACTTGTAGGCTTTAGGTTAGCCTAAGTACATCATACAAAATATTTTCACGTGTCTCTGTAGTATTGAATGATTGCTATTTACTACACAAACTCAAAACATGCTAGGATCGTTTTTGAATAAGTGAGAAATGAAAGTTAATAATGAATTATCTCTCACATTTGATGATTTGGAATTAATTATGTTTTTGTGGTACACCTTTATAATTTTATTTGAATACCCGTAATAAGCCCGAATCTCAAATAAATAAAAAATTTGATTAAATAATTATATTTTTTATGTTAAAAAAGGACGATATGTCTTTGTACTATACATTCCATGTAATAATTGTGAATTATGTGTTTTGTTATATTTTTTATAGTTAATAATTAATAATTAGTTGGTTTTTTATCTACAAAATGTTTTGTCATTTGCATGTCTAATATTTTACTGATGTTAAATTAAATTATTAACATTTATTCACCAGTAAAAAAAATTTATTCGGTGTGCTTTTGAAGTAGTTGAGTCTAAAACCACTACAGAAAATAGAAACACATCATAAACCATCTAGTGCATGGTTAATGTTCGTATGCTTGGACAGCTTTATAGTGAGTTGTCTCCCGTTGAACGTTATAAAGTATAACATCATTTGGAATAGAGTGCTTTTGAGGTAACACGTTGCCAGAACTATGTTGGTGTAATACTTACACTATCGAATAAATTAGATACGTTATTGAAATTTGTTATATATGTAACTGTTGAGGCATAAATAAAGTGCATAATCTAAAAATGTTATCATGATATTAACAGTGAGTTAAAAAACCGTGTTTCATTGTGAGTAATACAATATTGATTTATATTGGCTTAATCTTTTAGAAAATACTTTTCTTTGTTCTTTCACTTAAGAGTATCGGTTAACTTTGATATTTCAACCCTTATTTCCTCATTAAAGAATTAAAATTTCTTTCATGGAAAAGGCAACTCTGAGTGCTAGGGTAGTGTTTCATGCTTCTAGACCAAACTGAGAAATTTCATAAGCTTTTGCATATTCCTTTTACTTCTTACGACAAAACTTTTCTCAGTTCTTCCCTAACAAATAGAGTATTTTAAAATACATCCTCATTTGATCTACCAGATACTTTTTGGTTATTCCTCCTGCATTTCAGACCAATATGCAATGGATTTGGTGTTGTTGGGCAGAGTTTGAGGAAAATTCTTGCTACCGAAGATAAAAAATAAATAAAACAAAATGTGTAAAATATTATCTCTGCCAATAACTTTAAAAAGCAATGTTTAAAAAGTTAAGGCAAAGAGAATAATGTTTATAATCTTCCATATGCCTAACACTAAATCATATAATAGTCAATGTGGTATAATCAAATAGTTAATTAGATATATAGGTACTTCAATATTACGTGTTGGTAGTAATCTACTGTAATTGTTTTTGAGATTAAGGGATAGAAAAGCCTTAAATATTTTTGAAATAATATGACAGCATTTTGTGCATTTAGCGTAGATTTATAGCAGGTATAGGTACTAACTTTAGCTTTTGGTTATTATTAAAATTCATGATATTTCAATACTAAGCTAAGCTTTAACCTTAACTTAAGCTATCAAAGACATATTATGATCAATTAGTTCACATTTCATAGCAAGTACACAGGAATTATCTTGGGTGGCAAAGACACACATTATTAGTCTTGTTTGTCATGTGTATAATTATACCACATATATACAGCCAGTAAGAGACATGAGACCTTAGTTACATCTTAGGCTTGGAGTACATCAAATGATCCTTATTGTCTTCCTCTCTACCATTTTGTTTATTTTCTATACACAGCATTATATACATCACAATCACTTAATGGAACTCTTCATGATTATCTTAATGAACGGTTTCAATCGATTAAATTTTTCCACTCTTTCCACACAAAAAAAATTACTTACTTATACAGACAAAATAGTAATGGATATTTCAATAAAAATAACTCTATGAAATTTTGTAAAAAAATGTTGTAAAAAAATATTAAAAGTCCATTAAAAAGTGTTTGTTAGCAACATAGATACATTAAGTGAATAGCTTGCATTGAATTTTTGTGCTCAAGATTAACTTATTTTGAACACTTAACGTGTTTCAAAATAACACAATGGACAATGTTTATTGGTTGATCTCAATTGAACAAAGTACATCATGTTCTTAAATTTACATTGTTCGTTTATGATTATTTAGATTTGATTAAAAAAGAATTGAAATAATTGTTCACATAAGTATTAAAAATAAAACATTGATTAATGCTCTTGCAAGTTGAAATTCAATATTCCTGGAGCCCAACACTGTTCAACAAAGTAAATACAAAAATAAATTGCAATACAAAAGCTTGCAACACTACAAACGACCACTCTTAACAGTATAAAAATAAAATATCTCCCTCAATACATCACATAGCGGTACACTAGTACCATACAGACCTAGGCTAACCACAGTCAACTAGAAAATGCAGTAAAATTAGTAGTAATGATATATTTAATTATCACACAAATATAACGTCTACATTGCCGTCTCGAGACCCCTAGTTATATACATCACCGATATATACACTTCTCATATATTACAGACAGAAACTAAAGCTAACATTAGAATGCTCGGAAAAGCTCCTTACGTTGGAATTGCAGTCTAAATTACCTACGAGGAGGCTTAATATGTACAAGTCAGGCTTTACTTGGAAATATCTAAGAGGGTTTAATAAGTGTAATAAACCCTCTGCTACTTTAACAATACAAGATGGTACATATAAAGTCAACAAAAATAACAATTTACATAGTTGGTATAGTAACAATCACACAATCAGTCACACTCTGTATCAAAATAAGATGTCTCGCTAAAATAAATATATGCTACGTTAAAAATAATTAAAATTCCTTTTTTTGTTTTCAACATAAGAGAGCATTCTTTGCTGTACCGTAACGCCTATTTATGCATGAATGTCGGAATAATAGTAACCAAATAATGGGCTCTTCCAGCTTGACGGTTAAAAAATTACAGGTACACAAACTTAAAATTACTCATTCGCCCACAAAAAACACTTACGCTATCCTTTGAACAAGAGAAATAGAGATGGCTGGAATGAGAGAGAGGAAAGACGATAAAACTACAGAGGAACCCGAGCCAGTGTCGCCAACTGAGGCTTTGCTCACATTCTTGCTGAGAGCCGCTGAGTTCTCTGGCAAGTTGTTGTCATCACCTTGAATGTTGTTGCTGTCCACAATCTCCTTCGGCCTCGTTGTTGTGGTCGTGGTGGTTGACGTTGTCGTTGTTGTTGTAGTAGTCGTTGTTGGAACCAGTGTGTCGTTGTGTATCCAATAGACTGGGCTGAACACCGCCTTCAGTTCTTTCATGGATTCTTCTCTCAGTATTCCAGAGATTCCTCGGGCTCTTGATTGTAGATCTTCGTAGACGGCAACAAGTTGACCCGAGTAAGGGACCTCACTATCGGTCTGGTTACCCCAGACAGTGACGTTCACTGCGGTGCCTGGCTCTAGATGCGCTTCCACTCTGGAAATTTGAGATAAAAAAAATTAAAACGACAGTAGAGCCTACATGTACCATTAGTAGACATATATTGTCCTCTGTAAGAGTATGTGCGTCAAAAACTTACACTTTTGATAATGATTCCAAAGAGTTTGGATCCAATGATATAACAAATCAATTGAAATTTATCAATTGAATTTGTATGACAAATTCAAGTTTGTGCTGTAATGACTATTGTACCAGCACAAGCAAAATTACAAAGTCTCATTCAAATGAGTCATGATTTTTAGCTCATCTTTTTATACTTCTTCAAATGCGATACATACACACAGAAACAGCACCTAAAGCTGCACTTAAATGAACAACTCTTAATTTGTGGTTGCGTAATACACAGTAGCAATTTACCCTAGCCAGGATAGGTTCTTAATGGAATAAGTTAGAAGAAATCATTGAACCCTTATAGATTGTAAGAATGTCAATTTATACCGTCACTATTCCTATCAATTTCATATTTCTGGCCAAAGTACAAAATTACAGTGTAATGGAAGCAATATCAGAACACAAAAGACATATTTTTGGGTATTTGTTAACAAAAAATATATTCTTCTGAGGCACTCTGAATATTCTATCCAAATGCTACAACACTCTGAAGTTAGCTGAGCAACATCTTTTATCCCAAGAAAATATTTTATTTTTATTTTATTTTTGATCTTAACTTACTTGTAAACATCCTTGCGCTCCTCAGTGAAGGGGATGCCCCACTTAATCTCCTCTCTGTTGCCATTGGGTAGTCTGATGATGGTGTTCAGCCCCTTCAGCATGGCTCTTCCCTGACCCCAGTACATAGACACCAAGTTGTCATAAGCAACAACCGTGTCCACCTTGGCCGTATACTGCGATTGATCGTTCTTCAGAGTGGCTGATCCCAGCTCCTTCAGCGTTCTTGATTCTTTACGCCGCTTCTCTGTGAACTTCATGCTTGTGATCTCGTAATTTGTCGGTTCCGACTCTACGAGGATCTCTCCCTCATGATAATCCTTCTCTACAGCATCCTAGAATGACAAAGTAAACTATAGCAACTGTTTATGTGCAGGTGTTCTATAAATTTGATCTAACATGCCCAGAACTCAAAATAAATAAGACTAGTTTTCTATATGTAGTGAGTTTCTAACATTGGCCAAAAATTAATCTTGTAGAGTGAGAAGTAAACAGGATTATCATGAAGTACAAAACAAATATTAAAAGAAGATCAAGAGATAAAAAAAGTTGGAACTGTTGGCTGAAAAATCCCACCAATATAAAATAATGACCAAACCCAAAAAATTGAGGTTACAAATTGATAAATTTTTCACAAAATGAATCAGATTTAATTTGTATGGAAATATAATTTTCAGGATACTTTTCAGATTGTTTAATTGTAATACAAAAATGATTACAGTTTCAATATGAAACTGATTGGTATGCACTGGTACACGAAAAAGACGTAGAACTGTATGAAAACAGTTAAAATTCGTCACGTAGAGTATTGTACTTCGTATTCAGTTTCAATCTCGGTTGTTTTACATCTTTGAGGGATGGTGGGTAATGTTCTTATCAAGATAGGGTACAGACAAAAGCACATTGGCAATCGCAAATCAAGAGGGCGTGGTTGGCAGACTTAACGAGCTCAATGTGGGATGTTGGATATCGCGAGTCCCGGCTGTTGCGGGGGTGTTTGGTGGGAATCGTCAGCTGATTAACAACAATGGATGACGTGGAATTGGCGGGAAACTCGTGAACGCCTGGAGGCTTGTGCCCGTTCAACCGTATCGCGTGCTGTATACGTCAGACAAGAAATGGAGAGTATTCTAACAGTGTGTATTATGTTTATTATGTGTATTATGTGTATTATGGTCAGTGTTCCATGTTTACCAGTCCAATCTTTAGAAAATGCTGCAACACTTTTTTCGTCCGAAAAACTGCACAGCTGTTGTACTTGATCGTTCAATTGACATCCAATTTAGACTCATTGAAGTCTTTTACGTTTAAAAATTATACCATGTAGTTGTTGCTATTGTTTATAACGACAATAGTTGTAAAACAGAATAGCTTAATATATTTTTTTCCAATTTCAGACAAACAGATACATTATGTCCCTCTAATCTTAAAACGGCTAAATTCATTGGGAAAACACGTCTTTTTAAGGGTATGCCCACGCCATCCAAAGAATTTTCGCAAGTCTTTTTTGGATTGAAATAATTTCGATTTCAACCTCTTCTTTTCATCTGACCTCGAACTATTTTGAGAAAGAATCCAACAATAAACCCCGGGTTCTCGCTCGACCCCGTAACCTTGATGTTTGACAGCACACATTATAATTGGTCTACAAAACATCGCATCATTATCAAGCATTTTGAACAATACTTTTACAACTCTTATTCTTGGACACGTCCGAACCCGGATTATCAATCATTGGTGGAAGATTACGCATTTTTAACCAACCTTGCCGACTCCCTCGATGACGATGACTCTGCCTATGCCCTCCTTGGGGTCAAACTTGCCCACGTGGTGGCGAGGACCCAGGACCTTGGCCTCGTCTCGTGCTCCAATCATGTTGACCTTTCGTCTGGCAACGTAAACCTGCTCTCCCCCGGCCACCGCCCCCTTGGGCAACAGGGGGTTGTAGCGCCCCCACTGGACCCAGCTGAGCCGCGCCCCCGTCTCCATGTTCTCCAGCACCTACAAATCGTCAGAAAGTCAGGAAAATTGTAAAATGATAGATTACAGCGATATAATCAGTGAAATTTTATTAAAACATTAAAAAAGCCAAAATATATGTTAAAGCCTCGGAAATGTCAAAGTTCATCTCATTGTATTTGAATTTCGTCAGGAGGAATAGAAAATCTAGGAAAAGCTGATGCTCCTAAATAATTACATTAAAACGATTTAAAAATGAATGTTAAAGCTTTGCAATATGAAGTACTTTTTTTGTATTCAACATTAAAGTATAGGTTACAGTTAAATGTAAACGCATGGATAAACAATAAAAATAAATTGCAGAAATAATTTAATTCGTTCTAATTGTCCGCCCTGGCCTGAATTTAAAAAAAAGTACAAACATTGCAGTTATTTTACATATTAACTTTTCAACTTTTCAATAATATTATCATTCCGTACCAAAGCCAGTATGGACATTTTCATGCAGAACTGGAACATGACAAAATTGTGTACAGAAGTTTTTTCCTTGCAAACAATTTTTTTGTATCTGTATGTTGTTTAGACACACAAGTATACCAAGATTCTTTGAGACTGTGAATTACTGATCAGCCTCTCGTCAAAAGTGTTTTATCTTTTCGAAGTTTGCACAAAAGCTTTGATGTTGTACAATCGTATTTTCATGCAGAGAGCGAGCATGGTTCAATCATATACAGACCGTATTGTAGTAGAGCTGTTCAAAATGCATCTCAAACAAAGAAGTGAATATGTATTGTTGTTGAGTTTATTGTGTTCTGGGATAAATATGGGTGTGGGAAAGGAGCTTTTCTGAACAGTTGGTATCCTTAGGAAGGGTTATGTTTCGTATAGCAAGTGTAAATTCAAGCTGGCGTTCATTTAAGTTTCTTACGCGATTTTGAGGCCCAGATCGACACCGGCCACCCAATCTTTTCTTGCAATATTCAGTAGTGAGTTTAACCAATGGACTAACTGCACATAGATGGTCAGTGGTAAGAACCTATGGAAGAATCATAAGTTATGTATGTGTTCTCCCTTGCAATAGACCTTGGAAATCACACACAGACACTCAAAACAATTGCTTGTGCATTCACAATGTTTTCAAACCAGAAAATAAAGCTCCTTATGGGTTGAATAGGTAAAGTTTGTGTTATTAATGCTTCAAGTTAGTTTAGGATATAATTTCTCATCATTTTTTGTTGTTTTCTTCATCTTTGTATGATATATACTTGTACAGGTGTTTTTTAATAGTAAATGTACTCAAAGACTTTTTCTCATCATGTGACATATATGTTACAGGAATAAACGTGATCAAAAATGTTAAAATGTCTAATCAATAAAACCCTCCGCTAGTCGGTTGAAATGCAGGGAAACTTACCTCATACTGAGGGTAGCTGAAGACTCGGCCGAGCAGCGAGACTTGGCACTCTGTTGCGTTGAGAGGTAACCTACCAGGCACCCAGAGACCGTTGATTCTCGCTCTACAGACGTGCACAGCTCGCTCCTTAACCGCGTCCACGGCGCCGTCATCTACCTGGCCCTCTGTGGCTGTAACAGTGACAATGCTCGTTGTATTCGTGTACAATATTATAATTAGGACTTTTAAATATTTAGACTAAAGTAAGGGTTCTTGATTGCTCTGTGGCGCCCGGCGCACGTCGCTGCGGCGGGTTTTAAATCTACAAGTCGCAGAATCGGGGTTTGCAGAAACACATTTCGTTTATATTCTACAGCTTGCCGTAGCAGTGCTGACAAGTGCTGCCAACACTATGAAGTGTAGAAACGTATTCCTCGCATTAATGCAGGATCAACGAGTATTTGCTCTCAAACTTTGAAGGAAACTTCATCAAACCATGTAATTGACGCAATAAAATAGCTGTACAGGACATTATGATCATGCAAAAGTTTAAAAATGTTGCCGAATACGTCTTCGTTAGATTTTGCTAGATTTATCGGGTAATACGTCAGAATGTTTAAGGACATCTTTCTAGCTTTAGCTTCAAAGTCATACATCCCTGAGCTCCTGAGGAATGTTGAGTAGAATTACTCAAATTGGTAGTTGAACACCACCAACCAACACTGCATGCCCAAAAAAACAGCACGACCGCCGTCAGTAGCATCGAAAAAAACTAATCAATTAATTTTTAATTATAGAATACGCCATTTTGTATCTCTAAACTTGTATCAGATAAATTACCAAAAACCCACACTATTGTAGTGAATAAAGGAAACATTCTAAACAATCTTCGTGTATTTGGGCAACATTATTTAGTATAAACAATGGCGGGTTAAATTTATTTTCAATGTTCTGGCTACCCCCTATTCTCCTAAGTGACATGTAAAAACAAATAAACGGAGGAGTTGTCATAGATTTATTACTAGATTTTATTTTCAAAATAAACTTATCACACACTTTTATAGAAATTTCTATATTTCGGCATTAGCCTTCTTCAGGAACAAACACAATAACAATTAGAAGTGTTTACCACTCTGTAATGATGACTAGATTTTAGTTATTTATGTCATAAGCTACACCAACATTGTTAAGTAAACAAATAGTCAAAACTTTTCAGGTTAGAATATTTTACATGCGTATAAATTTCCCACGAGGAAAAATGTTAAAAACTCACTAAGTCCGCGGAGACTGGTTTGTCATCAAACTTTGTAAATAAAATTCCGAAAGTGTTTGTTACATTTGTTTTATACGTTTGCGAGATCATAATTTATTGACTTGATCAAAAGATCCACTGTGTTTTACTTTTTACTCGTAAATGTTTCCAACGCACAAAGTCGATACAAAAGAGAGGTTTTTATAAAGTAATGTATTTCGTAATCTCCTGAAAGGCTGTGATCAAATGTTGATCTTTTGTCTTGTGTCACTTTCACTCAAGACGGATTGATCAGCCCGCTAACTCGATTAGATCCTTGTTGATTAATAGCAGCAGCTGATCAAAGCTGAGACCGCCTTCTCTGATTGAAAGTCTACTTGTCAAAGGGTTTATCAAAGGTTTAATTTCATCCGATTCATCTTTTGCATAGGCTACTTGAAATAATGATGACTACCGTTATAACTCAGATTTAATATAAATTTGATTGTATGTAAAATATTACTTACACATTTTAAGAATGCGTTGATCGTAAGGATAAATAATTTTGTTGATAATTATACATTACGGCTAGTATCAGAGTACTTACTATGGTACCTAGTTGTCAAGGTAATTATTTGTCAAATCATAATCCCATAACTGGTTCAAAAAATTATCCTTGATGTCCTTGATTATTGGGCTTTTAACAAATGGTCATAACTCAAGAAACTGCTGTTCTTAGTCAGTAACAAGGCTAAACGACGCATCTAACTCATTTCTTAACTCATAATTTTTAGATTAAAATACACCCAGCTGCGTATTCTTCTTAATTAGTAATATGACAATATAATATTAGCTTTAAAGTACAGTAAGAACTTAAATTATTGTATCCATAAATTAAACAATATTAGCCAAATATTTAGTTTATTTTATTGAATTTTTACAAGGGGAAAAATATAAAAAGGAATAAAGTATTATTATAATGCAATAACAAAAAGAATATTGTGCTGACAGCATTTAGGTTAGAATCAATTGACTACTGTAAGTATAGAATCGAGATATTACTCCGTTCACAAAATTTAGGTAGTTTAGGTTAGTAGATAAATTACCCAAAGACCAGCCAGAGTATGCCAAATCAATATAGCCCAAGTTCAAGGAGGATCTTTTACAAAAGATCGAATCGTGGAGATAGAGCATTTAATGATATTGTTATGATCTGGCGAACTTTCTTACTGATTTCCGGGTTTCACGGGTGGAAGAAGGTTGGACCACAGAAGCCAGAGGTTAGCAGAACCCCGTTAAGGTACGTCCACACCGAACGCGCAGAGCTGCGCCGCGCTGCGCAAAACATGTGCGCGCCGAGCGGCGCACTTGGTGTGGACGGCGAACCGCGCAGCTACGCGCACTCGAGAACATCCGCGAACACGATCCGACTGATGGCGGTATTTTGACGAACATCTTTGAAGTTTGTTCGCCTTTGCGCGCTCAGTGTGGACGGGCATTTGCTCAGTTGTTGCTGCGCGTCGTTTCGGCTCGAACTGTCACTACCTGTGTATGATCAAAATGGCTTTTGAATGGAGTCGTGAGTGCATCGAGACTCTGGTAAATGCATATCGAGTTCGAACGGAGTTATGGGACCCAAAAGACAATAACTACTAAGACAATGACGACGTGGTTTTCTCCTTCTTTTTAACCGATCATTATAAATAACAATAAAAACCGAAGCAGCTATTGCAGGGTCCATTTTCTACATCGGTGTGATTGTGTAGCCCGCGCAACACGGATCACAGCCGCGCAACTATGAACATGGCGCTCTGTTCCGCCCAGTTTAGCGCAGTTTCGCGCAGCGCAATATGCTTTACACAGCGCGGCGCAGCGCGGCGCAGCTCTGCGCGTTCGGTGTGGACGTACCTTTAGGTAACCGTTCACGTGCGGTCGGTGAGACCGACAACCGACAAAACTGACAGTGGGCACCCATCAGTGTCTTCATCAGTAGTTGAAAGAATTGCCATGAGATTTCAATCTCGTTCATGATAAATGTAAGGACATTTTGTCAAGTTCAGTATAGTTTACTATGCAAAATGTTGTAAATAAATATGTTTCTATGTCTTTATTTACGGATTGGCTGATGACATGACACTATTGCAGAGAAATGCAGTGCTTTGATTAACTCTAGTGATCGTAACAGAGTTTTATTTGAAAAAGGTATGGACAAATTATATGAGTGTAGTCTTTTATGCAATGGAGTGTATTTAAAACTTACCAAAGTTCAGCATAAGTCATACTTATCACCTGGATTGGATAGTTTTTTGGTAATTTACTTGACATGGCTTTCATTAGATTATGAAGTTTTGATTTAACGAGTATCTTGGTGTTATTAATTTTTTTTATAATGTGTAACTAATCTTTTTTACTTTTTCAGGTGAGTGAGAGATTCTGAGAAACCAGATTCATAGAAGTAACGTAAGGTAATTATTTAAATGAAGGTGACATTTTTGAATTTTACGTTTGTTTAGTAACCAAAAACTTTAGTTCGTAGAAGAATTTCCTTTCCCACCATATCGTTGCGGACTAGTGTTTTCTAGTCAGACTATTTAAGACTAATTGATACAAACACTAGCCAGTTGTGGTATAAATGCATCCTTCAAAACCTTTCGTCACTAAAACGCAATTTATCTTGCACAGAGAGTATGAATATTAAATCGTATGAGCGTTTCCAAGATCCAAGCGAGTTTTTGAAACTAATCTTGTATGTTTTATATATCATAATCGTCGCTTCTGACATTCTAATGGAAGTCTAAAGTAGGCCACCTTGTTCGACACTTGTTATTTTTACTTAAACTGTTTTAAAATAAATTCCATTTTATATACTTGTAGGTTTCGTAGGTGTTTTTGACAAGCGGTTTCTTATTAGACCATAAAACAAATCCCCACTGTTCCCAACTTCGGTTGTTCCCAACAACGAAGAAGTCTGTGTGGTCTGTGTGAAACAGTGTAAGTTTTAATGTGATTCTATATTACGAGTAGTCAATAATTAGTTCTACAAACTTTCCTTTTCAAATACTCATAAACAATACTTCAAAACTCAATCCCAACTATCCAGGCATTGTTGAAGACGTGCCCTTTCCCGAAAAGGCGAAGTTGTGTTTTGGAATTCAGCAGAACTTCCCAAACTTTTCTTCGCAACTTGGAGATATGCATTGATCAACTCAGAGGCACAATGGAAAGTTTTCAGTCGGAATATTTGTGAAGTTGTTAAGCGAGTTGTCGGGCCGGCTGTCGGTCGTCTTGTACTTGGTTCATATTCATGAGAACAGATGGCGTAGTGCCAAATACTCCTACAAGCTACGAATAAGGATGTGGCCAGGATCCGAAAGCTCTTGATTCTACAAAAATATTTGTGACAATTATTTAAGGAATTTGCAACTATCTACGCCAATGGGATTTTTAAGGGATCAATTAAATCCGTTTTGATGGAGAGTGGTCTAAAACCCCCAAATTGTCTGGGCTAATCGGGGATCGAACTCCGCCCCTCTCTCACGGAAGTATCAGACGCTATAGTCTGTATGATGGAACGTGTCTTTTGGATTTGTTTCGCAGGTAGACGAAGGGCTCGTGAGACAGGTACCATAGACTACAGTATAACCACAGATAAAACATGGTATAACTCACTTTACACACCCCGATTTTCCGATACTAGGCCTAGCACCTTATTTTATCACAAAGACCAAGATTGGCTTATCGGACATCTTAATAGTGAACTTTTTATGGCAGGATAGGCTAGGATGGGAAAACTCCTACCTCATAATCTGTCCAAACCTAACCTAACATACCAGAAGTCTTATAACATTTTGTAGTTAGTTGTAAACAACTTTCGCTTGAACATTCTAAACAATGTAAATGTTGAGTGCACCATTAAGGTCCATAGTAAACAACTACAACCCTATTAATAGACCAACTATG